GAGGAGCAGTAAGAAGTACATTGAGTCTTAAAACTATAGCCCAAACTCAACCAGGATTATAGCAACCTACCCCTACTCTATTTCTTAGCAAAGGAAAAAGTAAACCCTTTTAAAAGAAAGTATCATTTAAAACCTCTGAACTTTTTTATATACAATTTCTAACACTCAACAAAAGATCATTAGGCATAGCACTGCAGCCTTAATGAACAAGGGCAAATACTGAAGAACAGCCAGCAAGAGAACGTGAGAAAAGATGTATTAACTAAAATATCTGGAAATTAAGTCAGTTTCCGCACTTCTCCCCTTTTGCCAGTTTTTCAGGGTTTTTGTTTTGTTTGGGTTTTTCTTTTTTAAAGAAAGAGTAGTCATAGTCATCTTGTTAAGCACAGACCATGAGAGTTCAGGTTTTACATTTTCATTGTTATAGAGTACTCAATTTGCCACTGATTCAATTGTGAAAATAAAGAAAAACCCCTTACCTCTTACTATTAGAACATAGTAGGCCCACATGAAAAGATGCTCAGCATCACTTGTCTTCAGGGAACTACAAATCAAAACTACAATGAGATACCACCTCACACCTGTCGGAAAGGCTAAAATCAGCAGCACAGGAAACGAAAAGGGGAACCCTCCTGCACTGTTGGTGGAATGCAAGCTGGTGCAGCCACACTGGTGAACAGTATGGAGGTTCCTTGAATGGTTAAAAATAGAGCTACCGGGGTGCCTGGGTGGCTCAGTGGGTTAAAGCCTCTGCCTTCAGCTCAGGTCATGATCTCGGGGTCCTGGGATTGAGTCCCCCATCCGGCTCTGTCCTCAACAGGGAGCCTGCTTCCTCCTTTCTCTGCCTTCCTCTCTGCCTACTTCTGATCTGTCTCTGTCAAAGAAATAAATAAAATCTTAAAAAAAAAAAAAAAATAGAGCTACCCTGTGATCCAGCAACTGCACTACTAAGTCTCTGGCCAAAATACAAAACTACTAATCCAAAGGGATATACACACTCCAATGTTTATAGCTGCAGTAGCCAAAAGAGCCAAATTATGGACACAGCCCAAGTGTCCATCAACTGATGAATCTATGAGGAAGACGTGGTATGTATGTATGTATGTATATATATATAGACATATATATATACACAATGCAACATTATTCATCCATAAAAAAAACAATGAAATCTTGCCATTTGCAATGACCTGGATGGAGCTAGAAAGTATTGTGCTAAGTGAAATAAGAGAGTCAGAAAGACAAATACCATACGATTTCACTCATATGTGGAATTTAAGAAACAAAACGAACAAGCAAAGGGGGTGAAAAAGGATGGACAAACAAAAAACAGACTCTTAACTATAGAGAACTGATGGTTACTGTAGGGGCGGGACAGGGGCAGTGGGTTAAATAGGTAATGGTCTAAGGAGTGTACTTGCTGTGATGAGCACACACAGTGCTGAATCACTGTATTGTATACCTGAAACCAATATTACACTGTATGCTAACTAACTGGAATTTATTTTTTTAAAGATTTATTTGAAAGAGAGAGAGGGCACGCGTATGTGTTGGCGGGGCAGTGGGGGAAGTGGGGGAAGAGGGAGAGACAGGAGTCTGGACCTCAACGAAGGGCTCCATCTCATGACCCTGAGATCACAGGCTGAGCTGAAACCAGAAGTCAGACCCTTAACTAACTGCACCACCAGGCGCCCCTTACAAAACTGTAATTTAAATAAAAACTTAAAAGGAAAAAAAAGCAGTAGGCCCTGGTATTTACCAATATGGATAAACACACACGCACGCATGCATACACACCCACACTTGCACACAGATGTTTATAGCAGCTTTATTCATAACTGCCAAAACTTAGAAGCTAACTAAGATGCACTTCAGCAAGTGAAAAAATAAACTTGTACAGATAATGGAACTATATTCAGTACTAAAAACAAAAGAATTAATAAGCCATGAAAAGATTAAGAAGAAATTTAAATACATATTACTAAGTAAAAGAAGCCAATCTGAAAAGGCTACATAATGTCCAACTATACGACATTCTGGAAAATCCAAAACTGTGGAGACAGTTCTTTCCTTAGAAGGAGGAAAGAACACTGGGAGAGGGGCGCCTGGGTGGCTCAGTTAATAAAGAATCTGCCTTCAGCTCGGGTCATGATCCCAGGGTCCTGGGATCGGGAGCCCCACATCATGTTCTGCTCAGTGGCTGCCAGAGGCAAGGGGAGAGGAAGAGGGAGGAAGCAAGGTAAAGGGAGAGGAAAGGAGAGAAAGGGAGGAAGACAGACAATTTGGGGGGAGTACTAGGAATGCCAAGATCCAGGACTAACTATATGACTGAAAACCACAAGAAAAAAAATTAAGAACAGACTCCAGTGGATCTAGATTATGGAAGTTAGTAGAAAAATATTTTTTTTTGAAGATTTTTATTTATTTATTTGACAGAGAGAGATCACAAGTAGACGGAGAGGCAGCAGAGAGAGAGAGAGAGGGAAGCAGGCTCCCTGCTGAACAGAGAGCCCGATGCGGGACTCGATCCCAGGACCCTGAGATCATGACCTGAGCCAAAGGCAGCGGCTTAACCCACTGAGCCACCCAGGCACCCCAGTAGAAAAATATTTTTAAATAATTATAAAAGTTAATACGGGAAAAGGCAGAGAATTCTAAAAAACACTGAAATCTAGTGTAGTTATACTAATCTAACAAAGTCGACATTAAGGAAAGAAATATTACCAGAGATGGAAAGAAACATTTAATGATAAAAGGAAAAATCCACAGGAAGATAGAGCAATTATAAAAATGCATACACTCTAAAATTAAAAATGGAACTGCCATATGATCCAGCAATTTCACTTCTGGGTATATACCCAAAGAAAACAAAATCGCAATGTTGAAGAGGTATCTGCAACCCAAGTTCACTGCCGCAATATTTACCACAGCCAAGACATGGAAACAACGTTAAGTATCCACTAACAGATGAATGAAGAAATTTTAGCGTGTGTGTGTTTGTGTGTATGTGTGTGTGTGTGTGTGTGTGTGTGTGTGTGTGTAGAAAGAAATTTTAGCGTGTGTGTGTGTGTATGTATGTGCGCACGTATTCATCAAATATACAATGAAATACTTACTATTCAGCCATAAAAAAAAGATCATCCTGCTATATTACAACAATATGGATAGACCCTAAGAGCATTACACTAAGTAAAACAAGTCAGAGAAAGACAAACACAATATTATGTCACTTACATGTTGAATCTAAGGAAAAAACAAATGAACTCATAGATACAGAGAACATACTGGTGGCTGCCAGAGGCAGAGATGAAATGACTGAAGTTAGTCAATGGTACAAAATTCCACTATGTAATGTACAGCATAGCCACTGTAATTAATAATACTGTAATATATATTTAGAAGTTGCTGAAAGAGTAAATCTTGAAAGCTCTCACCACAAGAAAAACTGTAAGTATGTGTAATGATGGAGGTTAGCTAGCCTTATTGTTGTGATTTCATAATATATACCTATACCAAATCACTACATTGTACATCTAAAATATGTCAATTATATCTCAAAAAAATATTAAAAGAATTCTGTAGTGAGGAAGAAAAAAGATTCCAGACAGAGAAGTAGAAATGCAGGAAGGAGGAAAGAACACTGGGAGAGGGGCGCCTGGGTGGCTCAGTTAATAAAGAATCTGTCTTCAGCTCGGGTCATGATCCCAGGGTCCTGGGATCGGGAGCCCCACATCATGTTCTGCTCAGTGGGGAGTCCTCTCCTACTCCCTCTGCTCCTCCCCCACTTATGGACTCCCTCCCTCTCTCTCTCAAATAAATAAATAAAACCTTTTAAAAAAAATAACAAAAACACGGAGCACCTGGGTGGCTCAGATGGTTAAGCATCTGCCTTTGGCTCAGATCATCTCCAGGTCCTGAAAACAAGCGCCATGTCACAACGGGCTCCCAGCTTAGCAAGGAGTCTGCTTCTCCCTCTGCCTCTCCCTCTCCCCCTGCTTGTGCTCTCTGTCTCTCTTGCTCTCAAATGAATAAATAAAAATCTTAAAAAAAAATTAAAATAAAACAAAAACCTGGGAGAAATACACAAATTACATACAAATTATACATACATAATGTATAATAATATATTTACACATATAATCATATATATAAAATATAAATTTATATATAAATGCATATACATAAATATTGACTTTAAAAACAGTTTGCCAATTTTAAATATAGAATTAAAATGCATGATAACAATAACACAACAGGTAGACAGGTAAAAAAATATACTGCATTTCAGATCCTCCCATAAGAAAATTGGTAAAAGTAAAAATGTGTATTTTGCTACACATATGCTGAAATCTCCAAGACAGTTCTAAAAAAATAATAAAAGAATGTGTAACAACTTAATTCTTGATTAATTCAAATAAAGGCCGAAGAAAGTAGATAAAGCGAAAAAACACAAAATGCAGAAAACATATAGCAAGAGGTCAGTGAAAATGGCAATCAGAAATTCCTAAAAGTCTCCATTCCATAACAGTCAGAAGAACAATGACCCAAAAAACATCAAGGAAAAAAGCAAATATGTGAGGTGATGAATATGTGAGCTTATGTGAATCCTTCCAAATGTACATGTAAATCAAATCATATTGTACATGCTGAAAATACTATAATCGTGTTTGTCAATTATACCTCAATAAAACTAAAATAACATGTTTATGCTCAGTAAAAATATGGTAACATCTTACTTCCCATATAAAAATGTTATTTTTTTCAACATTTTATTTCACATTTTACTTTGTAGATCAGTTTATTAATGATGCTATCCCTTTAATTCATACCCACAATAAGGATCAGTTATCAATTACAATTAAATAAGTTCTAATTATAATGAAACACTTTGACTAAACACAGGTACAAAATAAATTGCTAAAACTGCAAATAAATTTAAATGTGTAAAAAGAAAAAAAAAAAAAAGAAGACTTTTCTGGAACATTTTAAAATAGACATACTTATCCCAACCAAGAGTTCCTATCTCTTCAATGAGGCTGGAGTAGAACTGGGGAGGCAGAGGTGGTGCATACAACTCTTGTTTATTCTTTAAAGCAACTTCCTGTTTAAAAAAAACTTGAATCAGCTGTGTATTGCTAGACAGCAAGTTGTTACTATCTGATTACAAAACAACTTCATAATCTCCTTTGTGCCTCACTAAAGTGTCCATTATTTTTACAGAAATTCCAGCTGAATCATTCCCCTTCTCATATAAAGACAGGAACAAGCTAAAGGACTGCACTGAAGATTATTATGTGAAAATGTCAATTATTATACCATTTAAAAACTTCAGATTTTAGTATTTTTCTAGACTATTATGCCTATTAGGTATGACAAAACTTTAAAAATACCCTCAAGGCTTCACTATTCTTCTATTCCTGTGGATAGGACTTTGATATAAAGAAAATGTACCTTTAAGAAAAGCCTGAACTCTTAAGCCCATTATTTAGACAGATATATTTGTATACAGTTATGAATCACGCCCTTACAAACACAAACCCTTTATTACCACAGTAAATACTTGCCTGCTACTTTCTTTCACTGGCTTACATTCTATATTACTCCCAGACCAGGTTAAATATTTTTCCATCTATGTGGAATCACAGTTCCTTTCCCTGCTAGGCTCACCTATGATATCGTCAAGATGGTTTATGTACCCCACCCCCCAAAAAACTAATATTTCCTTTTTTTTCTTTTTTAGTTTAGAAGCAATACAAACATCACTTTAATTGCTGAGGCTGAATATTATCAATTTCTTCAAAGGTGCTAACCCAGACAAAGATTTTATTTGGAAAGCAAAAACAAAAATGTATCTGCAAATTACACAGATGTTCATATCAAAAGAGATAAATTAAAAAGTCAGATATAGTAAATGATAAAAGCAGATGAGAACAAGCATAAAAATTATGTTTCTATTAACTGTAACCCTAATAAAAGGTATAATTTTTTTCCTTTAAGTATTTACTCTATCAGTCCTTATACTTTGTTTTTAAACAAGGATAGGATACCATTAAATTGAGATAATACTAGAAAGAATAGATTTTACAAAACAGTATTTTAAAATCAGGACTATTAACTGAAACTACTTTTCTAAATCTCCTTTAGAATTAAAAACAACAAAACTGTGAAAGCAGGTTTGTAAAGCTCAAAATGACAGTATGGATTTAATTAGAAGGTAAGTTCTTAGAAGACAAGGAGTATACTGCTTTTTTAATAAATACTTAATGTTATCTGTAAATTGCCTGATTTAGTCCACAGAAACAAATTTTTACTATTAAGATTATCCTGTTAAAAAAGTCAGTATAGTTCCTATACTTATATATAAAACAGCTTCAGCAATTCTTTTGAAATTTTTTTAAATCCAGAAATATTAAATATTGCTATCCACGTATGTGGATGGTAAATGTGGATAATAAAAACTGCATCTTAATCTTAAGTTTATGACATTCGTAAACTCCACCTTCCACCTTGGGTCACACAAGGTATTCCATTCCAGAACCGTAACAGAAAAAAGGGCAAGGCAGAGAGTCAAAGCAGTCTTTGTGAAGAAGAGGCAAGATACCCAGTAGAAAAAACACAGGCTTTACAAAGGTTTTAAATCTTAACTTTACCATTTCCTAGTTTTAAGGCCTTAGATACACACTACTAAGCCCTAAAATGGGTATTTAAAAAACCTACCCACATCAGAGTTCTTTTAAAATACAGGTAATTGTGGGGCACCTGGTAGCTCAGTCAGCTAAGCATCTGACTCTTGATTTCGGCTCAGGTCATAGTCTCAGGGTCCTGGGATCAAGCCTCGAATTGGGCTCTGCACTCAGCTCAGAGACTGCTTAGGGTTCTCTCTCCTTCGCCTTCTGCCCCTCTCCCTGATTGCATGCACATGCACACTAACAAATAAATCTTTAAAAAATAAATAAAATACAGGTAATTGTTCACTTATTAACTATATACTGAACACCTACTATGAGCTTAGTTATTACTAGGAAACTGGAGATTTACCAAATCTCCCGAAAAGGTTCAGAATTACTGATTTCATTTGTACATCATCCTCAGTAATTTCATGGGTAATTATAGAAAACCCTGTTACTGACTATACAGCCCAACAAATAAACTGATCTTTTTGATACACTTTGATACACTTATTTTTTGATACACTGTTAATAAATGTGCAATAGTTTCACCAATTCTGTCAATTTCTCTAGAAAACTAAAATACAGCATGTCATTTTATTCAGAAATGCAGCAACAAATGTACTAAATAGAATACTGTTAGAGATCAATGTCAATATTTTATCTTAAATTAATGACAGTTTCTTCAAAATTAAATGACCAAAACAGCTGTTCTTACAACCTAATAAAGTCAGCCAGTAGTAAGAGCTAATGGGACATAGTGTATATAGTTTTACTCTGGTCCCTTAGTCCTTTATTTGTATAGCTTATGAAAAATTAGAACAACTTTTTCCTTTTAAAGATTTTATTTATTTGACAGAGAGAGGGGGAGAGAGCACAAGCAAGGGGAGTGGGAGAGGGAGAGCAGGCTCACTGCTGAGCAGGAAGGCTAATGTGGTGCTCTATCTCAGGACCATGAGATCATGACTTGAGGCCAAGGCAGATGCTTAACTGAGTCATCCTAGGTACCCCAATAAAAAACTTCTCAAATATTTTTTGCAATCTCAAGGTAAACCAAAATATGCTTTACTTCTTCACCTTACCTCTTTGAAGCTTATCATGAAATCAGGCCTTTGATGAAATTCATCATCAATTTTGATAATTCTCATTAGAGTTTACAAATTTGTAAGTCAAAATTCAAACTTTAGAAATTGACTTTAAACTATTTATTCTGATCCCAAACATTCAGAGGGTTGTTATGAGGATTTAAAAAAAAAAAAAAAAGGACTGAGAACAACTTGAGCAACTAAGCTCTTAGTATGTGGCAGCTGCTGCTAAGAATAAAAAACTCAAAAAGAACTATAAAAAATAAACTGCTTTCAGTTGTTAGTAGCAATATATTGGTACTGTAATTCTGTAAAATATAAATAGAGACATAGGAAAAGCATAAGTAAAACATAACAAGTAAAAAATAAAAAATAATTATGTTAATATTAGAAACCAAGATTTTCAGAGTAAAATATAAGCATTAAAATCAAATTAAAAGTGTTATGCCAAATTTGAATTGGAAATGTCAATATGAACTCATAATGAATTATTCTCTTTCTAAACAGCATTTTTTCCCAGCTCTGTCCACTGAAGAGGCCTACCAGTAATAGTAACAATCCACAGTTTCCAGATCTGTGGCATCAAAACACCATTTCCTACAAAGAAACCATGGCTCTTTAGAGGAGTAACTAATTATAGTTCTGCAAAAGGATGAGTACATTAAATTGGGGTAACTAGTCTCAGAAAGCATAGTTTGGCCTGTGTTAGAAGAACTAAGGAGCCAAATGAAGGGGCATACACTGACCAAAAATGATACAATTTAAGCATCAACAGGTATAGTGACTGCAATGGACTTAAGTCAATATATAAAAACTCAGGAGTTCATAATGATACTAAAAAAAAAAAAAAAATCATTATTCTCCTTTGACAGTTGTTAGGCACTAACTCATTACTCTAAAAATTGATTTTTGTTTAAAAAAAAAAAAAAAAAAAAGGAAAAGAAACAAGCACTTAACCTATTTCTCCAGCATGAGCTATACCTTGAATAAACCAAATAACTGATGAAAGGAAGTTCTCTACAGAAATAGCAAGATAACAAATGTAGATGATGGAATTTTAAAAATCACCATTTGCAACCCCTAATAGTGGATGTAGGCAATGATTTTCACTGGATGCTATAATCATTAGGTGATAAGCTGATAACAAACTTTATACTTGATGGATCTAAATCTACTGATCAATCCTAATTCTACTAAGAGAGGAACTATCAAATACCATGTGCCTCCTCGTGCAATGTAAGTACACAGCACAAAGTATTCTTACCAGAACAAATGAGACTCGGTCACAAAAAAGGTAGAAAAATATGTTAAAAGATACTATGAATATTTAATAAACCAAATCCAGAATGCAAGAAATGTTACAGGACACATAGTTCATTTAACTAGCAGACTAAAAGAAAAAAAAGTACGGGAAAGACATAGCAGTGCTAGAAATTAAAAGACTTAGGAGACATACCAACATTTAATGTGTGGACTTTGTTTGCATACAGACACAAACAAGAAGCTATAAGAAATTACCACTAAGTCTGCTGGGGTTATAACAGCATATTTAAAAACAAAACAAAGAAACACTTAGCTGTTGTAAGTATACACTAATACATTCATGGAAGGATGGATACAATGTTCAGAATTTCGTTAAAATGCTCTAGTCCCAGGGCACCTTGGTGGTTGAGTAGGATCAGTGTCCAACTCTTGGTTTCAGTTCAGGTCACGATTTCAAGGTCCTGGATTGAGCCTTGCAGCTGGCTCAGCACTCAGTGGGAAGACCGCTTGAGAATTCTTTCTCTCCCTCTGCCTCTCCCTTCCCTATTCAGTGTATACTCTCCCACTCTCAAATCAATCTAAAAAAGAATACTCTAGTCTCTTCTCCTTAAGGAGCAGGGGAAGAAAAACGGCAAAATGTTAAAGGCAGGTCATGGGTCCACGGGTATTCACTATACAGTCCTCCCTCTTCTGTTTATATTGAAAACTTGCATAGTTAAAAATTTCTTAAACAATACAATGTCTATAGGAAAAACTAAAAACTCAAGTATTTTATGCATAATTAACTGAGTAATCAATTATTATATATAGCTGTATGTATATAATGAAGCCTAACAAGTTCTTCAGAAATCTGCAGCTATAAACAAAATTATTTATACACTCTATTAGATCTATAAGTGTGGGTACCTAATCTCTCCACAGATGTTAAATTCTGACAGACCAGGACTACATTTTATTTCACCACCTGTCCATGACTAGTGTCCAGTGTACTCGGTTTGACACAATCAATTTAGTTCCTATACACACGTTCTGTTCCTCATGTAATTCAAAAGAAGCATCATCCACATTTACACACAGTAAGATAAAACATTGAGTGACTGGGAGTAGAAGTTTTAAATTCTAATCATGTTAATTTTTATAGGAATTAAAAAAAAAAAATCAGAGGCGCCTGGGTGGCTCAGTGGGTAAAAGCCTCTGCTTTCGGCTCAGGTCATGATCTCAGGGTCCTGGGATCGAGACTTGCATTGGGCTCTCTGCTCAGTGGGGAGCCTGCTTCTCCCTCTCCCTCTGCCTGCCTCTCTGCCTACTTGTGATCTCTCTGTCAAATAAATAAATAAAGTCTTTAAAAAAAAAAAATCAGGACTTATAGAATATGGTAATAGCATTAAAAAACAAATTCTTACCAAAATCATCTTCAACTCCATCATAAAGCTCATTAGATCAGGAGAGTGCTGCATTCTCTAGATAGAAACATTTCTAATTAATTTTATTTGTACAATGAATATTCTATACACTGAAATTGAAATAAAATATAAGTCCATGTGAATGTGAAAAAAAAATATCAGATATATCTACATCTTAAAAGCTTAAGAACTGAAGTACCAGTCACCATCCCTTCTATACCTACCAATTTCAAAATTCTGAAAGAGTAATTACTGCCCTCAAATCTGTTTTGGTGAGCTAAATTGAATTGTACCAAAGTCTCTTAAAATCTCAAACACTCCTTTGTTCCTTCAGCACTGACAACTGATCAAGTTTAACAAATCTACCAAACCACGTTATTTAAAAAAAAAAAAAAGGTTGGGGGGCGCCCGGGTGGCTCAGTGGGTTAAAGTCTCTGCCTTCAGCTCAGGTCATGATCCCAGGGTTCTGGGGATGGAGCTCGGCATTGGGCTCTCTGCAGGGAGCCTGCTTCCCCCCCTCTCTCTGCCTGCCTCTCGGGCCCACTTGTGATCTCTGTCAAATAAATAAAATCTAAAAAAAAAAAAAATTTTTTTTAAAGTGGTATGGGGTGGAAAGATGAACATAAAATATAAAATCAGGCAAATCTATGCAATTAAAAAATCTAATCGGAGTGCTGAATCAATTATTAATCAACCCCATGTTTTTATTTTCCCCCTTGCCTTAAAAACAACATGCAATTGTTAGTTTTGTCTTTTCACAATTAACTCTATTAGTTCAAAAGAAGTCAATCTTTAAACAGGATAAAACCATTATAATAAAATGGCAAAAAGGAAGTAACTTCTAAAGTTCAATAAATATTTAAGGGTTATAATTCTGTTTCCTAGAAATCTTTGATTCTTAAAATACCTACAGAATAAAGGAAAGCAAAGCAAATTCTCAAGTGTCCCATTTTTTATTTGATGAAACTCTACATCACTTCTCTGCTTGAAATCAAAATATTTGATTTTTGTTACTTTTTGTGATACACTGCACTACCACTACACAGTTCTGAACAAAGCCAATCTGTGATTTTGTTCCCTCTTTTAGAGGAGAAAAATAATAATCTAAAATATTTCAACAATGCATGAGACATATGAAGCACATCTTAACATAGCTTTAGGTGGGCAAATCTGTAAAACAAATCTTGACTTCCCCATCTTCTGTACAATATTTTCCCTGTTAGCTTACCAGTAATGAGCAATAAATTATATCAGATTTTTGTGAACTACAGCCTAGGGGCTAAATCCAGCCCAAACAATTTCTGTAAATAAAGCTGTACTGAAATGCAGCAATGCCCATTCATTTACCTCTTTATGGCTGCTTTGGCTCTACAAGTGAAGTAGTTGTGACAGAGATTTTAGGGACCACTAAAGCCTAAAAGATTTACTAGCTGGCCATTCACAGAAAAAGACTGCTGATTCCCCTAACCCATATTCACTAAAGTTAAAATCGATACAAGGAAAGAATAGTAATATTAGAATAAAGCAAAGACAAACTAACTCCAGGTTCTATATGACCAACTAGAGGACAGGAAAGAGATTAGTAAGTAACTGGAACTTTTTCTAGGCACCGTCTCAGTGAACTGATAGAGAAAAACAGTTATAGATATTATTACACTTAGTCTTTATTAACAAGTTTTTTCCAGGGTATTTAAATATCTCAATAGATTCATTTCCCAAACTCTAGAATACAATATAGTTACATTGGATGAGGAGGAGGCAGTGGAGAGAAAACAGAAATAATTTAAACATCCCCTTAAAAAAACAGCAGTAATTACGCTGCCAGCAATGACAGCCTACATTCTACAAATCAAATAGTTTATCTCCTGTATTTCTTTGTGGCTCAGTAATGCTTTATGTGAGTGACCGTCATTGTCAGTTATCATACATAATAACCCACTTTTAAGATGAAAAAAATATAGGAATATAGGAAATCGGGAAAAACATAAAAATGAATAAAGCATCAAAAGAAATTCAGTTCTACTTACATGTTTTTTTTTTTTTTTTTTTCTACAAGAGGCATTTCATTACTTTGGGTTTCTTTAGTAACAGTAATTCTTTTTAAGTGTTTCTCATTTTTAAAGAAATTTTCAGGTAGAAGAATCTAAACTTAAAGAACAACTACATTGGAGCTGAAAGTGAAATGGATGAAGGTGATCAATAATACAAACTTCCAGGGGCGCCTGGGTGGCTCAGCCGGTTAAGCGTCTGCCTTCTGCTCAGGTCATGATCCCAGGGTCCTGGGATGGATCCCACATCAGGCACCCTGCTCAGCAGGGAGTCTGCTTCTCCCTCTCCCTCTGCTCCTCTCCCCTGCTCGTTCTCTCTCAAATAAATTAAGTCTTTTAAAATAATAATAATACAAACTTCCCAGTTACAAAAATCCTGCCTATTTATATCTCTGCTCTATTTACATCTATGTTCATTAAGTACATATATATGATCCTAAGTGATCTCCACCACACCTTTTCTGTTACTAATCTAGAACTACATTCCAATTTTTGCCACAGATACTCTAAAATATCCAGATGGTTCCTGGATTTCTTCTACCACTAGTCTCAGCAGAAAAACTGCTCAAAAAGTAATGGATATGGAAGGGTGAATACATTTGAAGACCCTCTCCAGGATGGAAATTCGCTTCAGAATACTGCCCAGTAATGTGCTGAGGATTCCAAGACAGAAAACATTTTATATAATTCATGGACCCTTAAAATATTTAAGATGAAACCTATAAAATTCAGCAACTACTATACCAGTCTGTCACCACATTCTGCAAGAAGTCCTCTAAAAAAGTTAATGTAGCAATTTCTGTTTTTTTATTTAATTATTTTTATTAACATATAATGTATTATTTGCCCAAGGGGTATGGGTCTGTGAATCATCAGGCTTACACATTTCATAACACTCACCATAGCACATACCCTCCCCAAAGCCCATAACCCAGCCACTCTATCCTTACCCCCTCCCACGCCCAGCAACCTTCATATTGTTTTGTGAGATTAAGAGTCTCTTATGGTTTGTCTCTCTCCTGATCCCATCTTGTTTCATTTTTTTCCTTGCCTACCCCCTAAACCCCCCGCCCTCCTTGCTTAAAACAAGTCTTTTAAAGGACTTACCTGTTGTACTATGTGATGGTATCCATTAAGTATTGCTCTCAGTTGCCAACTACATAATAATCTAAAATTTTAATGGAACAAAATGGTTTGTTCATTGTTCAGAATTAAAAAGAAAAAACTTATTTGTATGCTAACACAAACATGCACATACAAAGAAGAAAATGACATAAATATAATTCTGACAAGTTAATAAAATTTTTACCACTGATACTGTTGAAAGTCTTGTCTTCAGACTGTCGGTACTAATTTTATTTCAAAATATAAATAACTGCAATCAGTAAATGACATGCAAACAGTAAATCTTTTTTTAACATATCGAAAGCAGAATTTTCTACTTAACTCAATTCTTCTCTAAGGTAGGTTAAATAAACCAACAGTTCTGATCATAATATACAGAACTTGTATTTGAGAAAGCATATGTAGCAATATAATCTTCAAATTCAAGATTAATGTAAAAGATACTTTTAATTGTGTAAGTAGTACTTAGTGTTCATCTATCCACTGGCTCACCTCAGCTGTGCTCTCAATATTGCTTAGGTGAGTAATTCTCCTAAGAATTGCTTTTCCTTACCTGGAAGTAGGAAGCCCCTCTGATTCCCCAATTACAACCCTTTCAGACCACCATGACTGTCTTCCATTTTTGCTGTGCTAACCCCCATTTCCACCCCTATTTTTTCCTCTCTTAATGGCAAAGTAGTTCATTCAACTGCCCATGGGGAAACTCCCCCTCCAAATGTACTTTCCATCCCTTGTCACCAACTTGGTCATATCAAGTAATCAATCATCACTTTATTGTGATAGTTTTATTTTCTCCTAGTTTTTTCAACAAACATATTAACTTGCTCAAGCAAATCTCAAAAAACAAGATTATAACTCTGCCTTGACTGCATACCCTTCTCTACCACTCCTCTTTTTCATAATACAGTTGATCCTTGAACAACACTGGCTGAACTACCCAGGTCTACTTACACACAGATTATTTCAGTAAACATACATACGGTACTGTAAATGTGTTTCCTCTTATGATTTTCTTAACAAAATTTTCTTTTTAATCTATAATATATACAACATACAGCATACAAGCATTAAACGGTTTGTTCATGTTATCAGTAAGGCTTCCGATCAACAGCACTGTTAAATTTTTGCAGTCAAAAGTTACATGCAAATTTTCAAGTGCACAAAAGTTCGGTGCCCCTGACCCCTGGGCTCTTCAAGGGTCAATTGTAGTTTATACTGTTTACATTTCCTTTCTACTCACCCACTCCGAAACCCAATACAATCTGGCTTCTACCACTACATGAAACCTAATTTAACCTGATCCCTCTGCAATACTCAGCACTAGGAACCATGTCCTCATTAAGCCTCTATTTGGCTTCAGTGACAACTGTCCAGATTTTCCTCTTACTTCTTTGGTCAATCCTTAGTCTTCTTCCAAGTTCCTCTTTATCAGTTCTTTACATGTTGGTATACTCTCAAGTCTTTTAAATGTTGGCCTTCTTTTTTCACCCTACACTTGCCAGCAATGTTAAGTACCCATACTCACAGCCCCAAATCCCATCCCTACTGTGACTTCCGGGTTTCACACTTGAGTTCCACACTAATACATTAAACATCTCTTCTTGATATTTCACATCTACTATGTCTTAAAATGATGGCTCTCCTATTTCTCCACTGTGACCCATTCTCTAGCTTAGTGATGAGAGCCAGGAACTTAGAAAGCAAACTTCTCTCCTCTTTCCTTTTCTTCTCCTACTTCTAATCAGTCACAAAAATCCTGTCAATTCTAATAAGTGTCTCTGGATTCTTCCTCTACTCTTCTTCCAGAGATATTTAAGAGTGGAAAAGAGGTTCTAGATGCTACCTAATTTCCAGTGTCCTCTCTTGACATTCCTTGATGGGCTGTCTATACCAACAGATAACTTACACAACTGCTAATCATCTAAGCTTTCAAAGGAAAAAAATAAAAATAGAGAATTAACATGTTACCTTCGGTACTTCAGCACAAAGCATAGTAACTTACAAATGTACACTAATTTGGAAAAAAACTGGAAATGTTTCTGGTTGACTAATAAGCATGTGGGCAAAACTAACAGAATAAGCTTTTCCTAGATTAACTGACTGCCCATCCCACCAAGATGCGTGAATATGACCAAACACTACATCACCTTGCATTCTTCATTTGTAAATCTTCAGGCAACACTATTCTAAGGTGAAAATCACGTCCCTGTGGAAAATATTGAGAAAATTACAATGTTAACAAAAAGTTAAACAAAATTACATCAAAAAAGCAATGTTTTCCTTTATTTTCAAAAAGGTATCAACTTTATCCAAATCTTTACATTTGTTAAAATATATGCAATAGAATACTACATTTGAAGGAAAATAATGTAAAAATGCCAGAAACTTTGTAATTATTGGGAAACCAAAACAAAGACAAGACTTCATTTTTAAAGAGAATCAATTCACATAACAGAATGTTAAGAGACTGTTAATGCAAACAAAGAAATTTAATTACTTCTTATAAACTTGGGAAAAAAATTCTTTCAATTGCTTTGACTATGAAAGAAAAAAAAACAGTGTAATATAAGAATATGTAATCCATTACAGAATTCATTTTCAATTTCCTCATTTTAATAAAATGAAAGTATAGTTAGTTACACAATCTGAACATACAGACATGAAAGAAATATTTTCAAAAAACAGAATATTTAATTCTCCCACATTTGTGGGCCTTTAATTAAAAAAAATCACTAATATTTATTTTAATTTAAATATTTACTAGCTATACATTTGGATATACCAAATTTTACTCAAGAGTTTTTCTAAGGAAAGAACTGTTCTCTGAGAAATATATTCAGTTTCACTTTCTTGAGAAAGTGAATGGGTAAGCAGCTTAAACTTTATATCTTAAATAGAATAATACACATGATCTGAGCAAAGGTAAGTAGAAAAAGACAAACAGAAATATAATCTTTTACTCCAACAATATAAAATGAAAAAGAGTAATAAAATTCTCGAAAAATAATCACCATGAGAATTTTAGCACAGGCTCCCTCAAAGCAGATTCAAAACTAAAGGAACACAATTAAATGTACCCCATAACCTTTACTTTCATGATAATATTACAGTTCTGACTTTCATTACATTTAAATGTCCTTTAAAAAAATGAAACAAAATGTACTACTGACCTTTTCAAAAGGTCAAGTAACAATAATTCACTATTTCATTAAAGCACTAGAAAGTATTATGTAGTAACTTTAACCTAACTTTATAGACATCCCACACATAGATGTAAGAACAATCTGGAATTCAGAATTTACATGAAAAATAGTAAAACTACTCTGATCTGTTATCTGAAAGAATAAAATTCCAAAGTCCCTTATTTGCAAAATCCAGCCATTTTAAAAGGTCAAATGCTATGTTACATGCCATAATATTTTTCTGATTCAAGAAAATGTCCAAAATTAGCTTTTTTAGTTAAAGCATATAAAAAATGTTAATTGCTCTCAAAAATAAGTCTTCCAGGTTGTATGGAACAAAGTAATGACAGTTGCCTAAATCTGAATCTCTCCATATATCCTCCCAAATATATCAATATTAAGAACATCTAAAACAGGAGCACCTGAGTGGCTCAGTCGGTTAAGTATCCAACTCTTGGTTTGAGCTCAGGTCATGATCTCAGGGTCATGAGATCAAGGCCCATGTTGGGCTACATGCTCAGCACAGAGTCTACTTGAGATTCTCTCCCTCTGCCCCAACTCTCTCTCTTTAAAATAAATAAAATCTTTAAAAAAAAAAAAAAAAAACTAAAACTAAAACTAAAACCACAAAAAACCCATGTCTCCACCAAAATCAGAAAACAGAACACTAAAAACTTCAAACTACCTGTAGGAAGAAAAACATAAACCACTTTCCAGTGATTTTCACTCTGGGGCTCCTATACCAAGTCCTTTTAAAGAACTACGGGGTTCAGAAAAAAAGTGCATGGAAGAGAGGAGACTGAACTAAGTGTTAAGATAATAATAAAGAGTTTAGTAGATCAGAGCACTGACTACAGGGAGGGGGCTTAATATGAACATAAAAGTCAAGAAGCTCACCCTGTAAAAGAAATACACAGGTAGAAGATGGTAAAAAGGCAGGTGGAGACATCCTTTGGAAACTGGGTATTAGGAGGAAAAGTAAGAGTGGAAAACTGAGGTTCTTATGTAACAAAATAAAAATACTCAACTCCTCTGTCAGCACTACTTAAAAAAATCAGCCATTAAATAAACCGCACTTTGCTTCAACTACAGAAGAAAGTATTCTTAAACTAGTAATTTTATAAACTACTGCCAACAACCAAATTCACAAAGATGTTTTCATCAATGCCAAGCTACTATGAGTCAAAATCAGAATAAAAGAAAACATTTCAAGTAATAATGATCCCCCATGCAAATAAAAAAACACAAGGCATAAACAAATTACAATATTGAATTATATCATCATTAGTAAGTGTCTGTACCCAGACTCAGAAATTCAAAAAACTATGAACAGAAATTACAAGGAAAAAAAAATTTAGTTCAAAAAAAAAAAAAAAAAGATACTACAGTAGAATAAATTAATAAGTGCTCAAGGAGAAATAGAGTAAAATAAAAATTTCATTAGAGGCACTGTGTTGGATAGTTCAGGTAGTAGAGCACATGACTCTTGATCTCAGAGCTGTGAGTTCATGCCTCGAGTTGGGGGTAGACAATATTTAAAATAAAATGGTTAAAAGTGGCAAATGTTATGGGTACTTTACCCCAATAAGAATTTTTAGGATTTGGGGCACCTGGGTGGCTCAGTGGGTTAAAGCCTCTGCCTTCGGCTCAGGTCATGATCTCAGGTCCTGGGATCGAGCCCCAAATTGGGCTCTCTGCTCAGCAGGGAGCCTGCTTCCTCCTCTCTGCCTGCCTCTCTGCCTGCTTGTGATCGCTCTGTCAAGTAAATAAATAAAATCTTAAAAAAAAAAAAAAAGAGTTTTTAAGATTTATTTATTTATTTTAGTGAGAGAGAGTGAGCAGGGGGAGGAGCAGAAGGAGAGAGAGTCCTAAGCAGATTCTGTGTTAAGTATGGAACCCAAAGCAGGGCTTGATCGTATGACCCTGAGATCATGACTTGAGCCAAAACCAAGAGTTGGACACCTAACAGACTATGCCAGCCAGGTGCCATCCTCAATAAAAGTTTTCTAGCATTTTCTTTGCCATTATGAAATTTTAAAAAAGTTATCAAATCAGAAAATAAAAATAAAAACCATCAGAGAAAAGCAGTTGAATTGGAAACATGTAATGAAAATCCAACACAAAAAGAACTGGCAACCTTGAAAAGGAAAACAAAAGAGAAGAAAGAATATTTTGAATTATAATCTAGGCATACTTTCTGGAAATTCACATATGAAAAACTGACCATGTGAGAAAGAAGTCCTAATGACTGACTCAAATGTATCTTAATATGCAGACTTTAAAGAAAAAGTCCATTAACTTACGAGACCAAATAATATATGGGAAATAAAATACAAGTAGCATCACACTTCTCAAAGCAAGATTTTAAAAAAGCAACAATAGAACAGAACTTTCAAGAAACTGAGAAGATTTCTGCTTCTAGCTATGATGGAGAAACAGCAGCAGTTAAACAAAGCAGTTAAACCTTCCCACTTTAACTAAAAACTGGACAAAATATATGAAACAATGATGTTCAGACATCAAATAGGCAGCAAAAAACAGTGATTACTGAAAGAAGGGAAACAAATGAGAAAAATCTTTATAATTATCCTGTCTTACTACCTGGAGAATTTTTCAGACTTCATAGCAAGGATGGAGAACCAAATGGAGCCAAACAATTCTCCCTGATTTGACAAAAGGGGGTGTGCTGGGGGGAGGCAAAGACATGTATAATTCACAATGTACAATACCAAAGAGGAATGCCATATAAGAAGAGATAATACACAGAGAATGAACCTAGAAAATATCAGTGTATTGTTGTAAAAGTCATCAGCTAAGTATGATTGCTGCGTATATGTGAGAAAACTACCCAAGGCCTGGGAATCATGAGACTGGAACATGCAAAACAATCTCAGAGCTCACACCAGGCTGGGAGTAGTCATGTTTCCTCTCAGAAGAGTAGAAAACCTTATACTATAAAGGTTATCATTAAAGAGAAGTGGTGGGACTTCTCTTCTGGGAGTGTCTGGGTGGTGGCTCAGTCAGTTAAGCATCTGACTTCGGCTAGGGTCATAATCCCAGGGTCCTGGGATCAAGCCCCATATCAGGCTCCCTGTTCAGTGGGAAGTCTGCTTTTCCTTCTCCCTCTGCTGCTCCCCTCCTGTGTGCTCATGCTCACTGTCAAATAAACGAGTAAAATCTTTAAAAAGAAAAAAAAAAGAGAGAGAGAGAAAGAGAGTGTACTCTGAAGATACTGCCTAAGTGGTAGAGCCAAATTAATCTAGGCTAAAGTCTGTTTTGATTCTGCCTAACAAAGCTTAGAAGCAAACTATGAAAAGCTTAAACTGTTTCCAAATAATTTAACTACAGTTTAGAATAAATCAAGAATATTTAAGAGAATAAAATTATCTAGCACACAATAGTTGGAATGCACAGTATCTGGCATCCAACCAAAGTATGCAAAGAAACAGGAAAATAAGATTCATAATGAAGAGAAAAAAAAATCAAGAGAAATACAAAAATGGCAGATGATAGAACTGCTTAAAAAAAATTCAACAGTGATAACTACATATGTTCAAGAAGGTAGAGAAAAGCATGAGTATGCTAAATAGAACACGAAATATAAAGACAGACCCAAATCAAAGAGATGAAAAATACAATGTCTGAGATGCTATAAAGTATTAACAGCAGATTAAGTATTGCAAAAGAAAATATTAGGGTACCCAAAGGCACAGAACATTCAAGAGAAAGACACTGAGACAAGCAATGAAAAAGAACAGAACCATTAGTGAATTACGGAATGATTTTTAAATGGCCTACTATACACATATTTTAAGTCCCCAATACGAAGGAGAAGAATAAAAAAAATTTAAGAAATAATGGCTGAAGTTTTGCTCAAACTGAAAATATATACTCACAAATTCAAAAAGCTCCACAAACCCTATGGAGGAAAATCATGAAGAAAACTACACCTAGGTACATCATAATCTAATCAACAAAAAACAATGATAAAAAGAAAAATCTTAAAAGCAGTCAAAAACAACAC